ATTAATGTGTTGCAGATAGCGCGGTACAAGGCTCCGTTCCACCAGCTGCGTATCCAGTACGGCACTAATAAAGGGAAGAACTACACAGAGGAGGAGGATCGCTTCCTGATCTGCATGCTGCACAAAATGGGCTTTGACAAAGAGAACGTTTATGAAGAGCTGCGTCAGTGCGTCCGAAACGCCCCCCAGTTCAGATTCGACTGGTTCATCAAGTCCAGGACAGCTATGGTGAGAGTTCACTGTTTACATTTTAGGACAAAAATGTTGTAACACGCCAGGAGGTTCGCCCTGAGTGAGGATCGAAAAAAACAAACTAGACAAGGAAGGAATTAAAAAGGAAACATGGAAAGTAACCGATCGCAGTTCAGGGGACGGATCGAACCCTCAGTCACCGCATTGCCAGGCTACGCAGCGTGCCCCTGAAGGGGATAATGGTTGTGCTAACTAAAGACTTAAAACGATGACCCAAACTTAGAGCTCAAATAAAAAGAGCATCACTTCATTAACAGCTACCAGCGCTGCTCTGTAGGCGACCCTGCCAGTCTGCAGTGACAGCAGAGGAGGGTAAAGTTCAGCTCCTCACTGCTGGGCTTTAGTTACATTTAGGGACTCATATGCCTTCAAAGAGGGGGGCAATTATTTATTATCACCCACCCCTAATTCTTCAGTGATATGAAGCTGAAGTCAGATATTCACCAGCTTCTTGTTCGAATTTTCCCGTTCCACCTTAAATGAACTACTGCTCTATTTAAGGTGGAATGGGACATTTAGAGACATCAGCACTACTAGTGATTTTTTTATGCTTGTTATGAAGAAAACGACCATAATACATTGAAACCACATTAAACTAAGATAAAACAGTGATTATCAAATATTTTTAACAGCAAAAATTCTCACATTTGTGTTTCTTTGTCGCTCATCTTGCCAGTTTTTCCTTTTTTCTCATAAAACTCAGTTTGGAGTGTGAACAACCTCCATTTGGAGGGTCATGTAGCCCCAACACTTCACCCTCCCCCGTCTGTCTCAACAAAAATCAGGGACACCCCACCCCTAGACATGAACACACGAAATGGAGGGGTAGGGCTAAGTGGTAGGGTGAAATGGGATTGGGCCTTTGTTTGGCTCCCTTTCACCCTGCGTGTGGAGTGTAGACACTACCTGATGAAGGAGGTGGGCGGTTGATGTGTATCCATATGAAACCCCATCCTTTAAAAATGGAGCTGACTGTGGTGAGTTACTCTAACACACAGCACACTCTGAACCCTAAAGACGTTTAGTCACTAAAGCCGTTATTGTTTATTCTTGAGGCGTCACAGGTTCACGTTTTACAGCAGAAACCGTCGAACTCCAGCGCTGTTGTTCAGCAGAACTCAATAAATCCATTCAGCCAATCAGCGAACAGTATTCGGGTCAGGTGACGCAGCGCTGTCGCCGACTGTTCAAGCTCAGAGCTCAGTGAGTCTAACAGAGAACCACTCTGGATTCAGCCGTGTGAGACAATTCATACTGGATATAAAGACCAATATTCATAATTTCATAACTCACGTAGTCACTATATAGGGAGCAGTGAGCCGTTTGGGATTCAGCCTTAGGATTTTCTGACATCTGATCTTATAAATGATTAATATTGATCATCAATGGCTGTTTGTGTTGCAGATCTTTGCCTGCTTATTTTATGGTAAAGGATGTTAAATATTGACATGAAATGACCATTACAGTTATCTAATTTTGTAAGTTATGTGTTTTTTGTTATTGTAACTTAATCAAAACAACCCAGCTGCAGTTTGATTGATATTACATTACTGTAACATCTCTTCACTCTTTCGCCTGGTCTTTCTGTGTTTTTTGCTTTTTCTTGGTTTCCTAGTATTGTGTTTTTGTTTATCTGCCATGTGCTTTTGTTTTCTTTTGACATGTGCTTTTGTTGTCATGTTGGCTCCTCCCTTGTCCTGCCCTGTCTTCACCTGTTCTTTGTCTCCCTGCCCCGCCCTCTTATTGGTCTCGGGTGTTTCTCGTTTTCTGTTGGTATTTATACCCCTGTGTTTGCTCAGTCCCGGGGTCTTGCATTGTGTCTATATACCCTGTTGTGGTCTCTTGTGTAGTGTTGATTTACTTTGTTCATGGATTTATCTGTTCCACTCACCTCTGGCTCTGTGTTTTTGGACTTTGAACCTCCTTTAAATAAAAGCAACTCGCACTTGCATCCTGCCTCAAAGCCTCCTACGTTACAATTACCTTAAATGCACAATAGAAAAAGCATGATTCATGAAAACTCTTCATATGCAGTCAAATGCAAAAGTTTGATAAACCCCCCTGTCAAATTACGTTAGATTACAAAGGTTCCTCTGCAGGGAACAAAGAAAGTTTGTATTTCTTTGCAAATTTTAGCCCAATATGTTTTTTTCCAAAGGGTTAAATTCGGTAAATAAACAGTCAGTGTGTGTTAAAAGTGCAGAAGTGCGTCTCTGTAGAGGACGTGTTCACTTATTCACACTTAGAGAATCAACACAACATAGAATTTGACCAGGGGTGCCCAAACTTTTGCTTACAGCTGTATAAAACACACAGGACGTTATTAATACATGCAGATACTAAGTGTATCTCTGAGTGATGAACACAGAGAAGTGTGTCATGTTAAATTATTAAAAAGATGTTAAAATATTAACATATTTCTGGGAGTGAAGGTGGAGAAGACTGAGCCGTACAGTCTATTTTTCCTTTTTTTGTCTGTGGCTGGTGCAGCTGTGTTTGTGTGTATTTAGTCAGATTTGTTTGTTTACATGCTGTTTTGTTTGTGTTCGACAGGAGCTGCAGAGACGCTGTAACACCCTCATCTCCCTGATCGAGAAAGAAAACATGGAAATCGAGGAGAAAGAGAGAGCGGAGAAAAAGAAAAGAGCTCCCAAAGGACAATCAGTAATTTAACCTCTTCTCTGATTAAACACACACAGCACTGAGTGAACGTCTCCATCTGGCTTTACCTTCTGTGTGTTTAGATACACACAGATCAGCCATAACATTCTGACCACCTCCCTGTTTCTACACTCATTGTCCATTTTATCAGCTCCACTTACTATATAGGTGCACTTTGTAGTTCTACAGTTACAGACTGTAGTCCATCTGTTTCTCTGATACTTTGTTAGCCCCCTTTTACCCTGTTCTTCAGTGGTCAGGACCCCCATGGACCCTCACAGGGCAGGTACTATTTGGGTGGTGGATCATTCTTAGCACTGCAGTAACACTGACGTGGTTGGGGTGTGTTAGTGTGTGTTGTGCTGGTGTGAGTGGATCAGACACAGCAGTGCTGCCGGAGTCTTTAAACACCTCAGTGTCACTGCTGGACTGAGAATAGTCCACCAACCAAAAACATCCAGCCAACAGCGTCCTGTGGGCAGCGTCCTGTGACCACTGATGAAAGACTAAAGGATGATTAGCTCATACTGTGCAGCAAGAGGTGAGCTGTCGTCTGTGGCTTTACATCTACAGGTTGGACCAACAACGCAGTTGCGTCTAATAGAGTGGACGGTGAGTGGACACAGTGTTTAAAAACTCCAGCAGCACTGCTGTGTCTGATCCACTCGTACCAGCACAACACACAGTAACACACCACCACCACATCAGTGTTACTGCAGTGCTGAGAATGATCCACCACCCAAATAGCACCTGCTCTGTGAGGGTCCATGGGGGTCCTGACCACTGAAGAACAGGGTATCAGAGAAACAGATGGACTACAGTCTGTAACTGTAGAACTACAAAGTGCACCTATATAGTAAGTGGAGCTGATAAAATGGACAATGAGCGTAGAAACAAGGAGGTGGTCATAATGTTATGCCTGATTGGTGTATATTATATATATATATATATATATATATGCTCTTGTTTGTGTGTCTGTGTCAAAAACTGAAAAACGACAGAAATGGAGATACAAGGTTTTTTTCCGACAATATACAGCATAGTTTGTTTTTAACTTTTGGTAATAAAATTTCTATTGACATTTTTCACAATTAATAACGTTTGATTCATTTTCTGTATCGTCTTCACTGTTTTTATATAAACAAATGTACAAATTATTAGTTATTATGAGCTACACTGAATTATTCAGACTCTGATAAATTAATCAGTAACCAAACAAATTCTTTAGCAACTGCCATAAACTGTTTAGTAGCGACTATAAAAAATGTAGTATCTGTGACAAATTATTCAGTATCTACTATGAAGTATTCAGTAATCATTATGTTGTACTCAGTAAGTACTGCGAGTTACTCAGGTACTCAGTATTTCTATTTATTGTCTTATTTCTTTCTACAGGCCCAAAAACGGAAAGCAGAAGCTTCGTCTGACAGAAAGGAGAAGAAAGCCAAAACCTGATTCTGTCTTTTAGGGATTCAGATCGTTTATTCATCATCCAGTACGACGGCGACCGTTCATGACTCGGTATTCCTCCAGCTCCATCCCATAATACTCCCGACTGTTCAGCATTGTCTCAAAATCTCAACCAGGACGAAACAAGCAATCGCGCGCTCCTCTGTGAGTCGGTCTGCAGGTTTTTCTACGCTTCATTTTTACTAAAGTTTGATGCACTTTCAGAAATCAAACCGCGTTCAGCTGCAGTGTTTCTCTCTCAGTAGATGTTTAGCTTGGCTTTGCAGAACGGGGAACCATTTCAGTACATCGTTTTTTATTTACGTTCTTCTACGTGTTTTATAAAAAAATATATTTTCCCATGTTCCGCTTTGACTTTATGACTTTCTATGGCCAGTGATGGGTTAAAAAGTTCGTTTTATGGTCCGATTGTGGATCACGCTGTTTGAATTGCATGTGCAGAGCCAGTTTTATCGCGAACATCTTTCATGCGCTGTTTTGTACGTCCGTGTTGTGTTACCTGCTCTGTTTAAGCCTATTTACATATTCATGTTTCAATTTTTAAAAAAGAATTTTTCAGATTATCAGTCTTTATATGTGTTTGGATTCTGTGTTATTAAAAAAACACAAAAAAGAGACTAGACTTGATTTTTTTACCCTCTGGGCTCTGAGTTCATTCTGGATTTGTTCATATCTTAAGACTCTCCTTTAAAGGCTCTTCATACAATATGATCCTCATATGTTTCATATCTAAATATCTTCATCACTACTTTCCAAAACTGCTGCAGCAACTTCAGCAGCTGTAAACTCTCTGCATGCCATTTCACATGAGTCTCCGATGTGGACTCAATGAAGAATGAAGGGTTTCCGGCGTGATGGTCAGTCCTTAGTGATTTCCTGAGTGTCCATTGGTCAGTTTAGCACAGAATGTAGACGGACACACGAATCCACCAGCTCCACACGGTGAGAGGCAGATGTATCGAATTGAATTGAATTAAATTCAGAACTATCAGCCAAACTGCATTTGCACACAGAGGAATTAGACCTCCGCATTTAACCCATCCATGCAGTGAAACACCACATACACACTAGTGAACACACACACTAGGGGGCAGTGAGAACACTTGCCCGGAGCGGTGGGCAGCCCTATCCACAGCGCCCGGGGAGCAACTGGGGGTTAGGTGCCTTGCTCAAGGGCACTTCAGTCACGTACTGTCGGCCGAGGGGATCAAACCAGCGGCCTTCCGGTCACAAGGCTGGTTCCCTAACCTCCAGTCCCACGACTGCCTCTCAGCCCTTCTTCATAGGCTCATAACTCTGGATGTGAGTCTCGTAGGATCTCGTGATTAGATGGAATGGAAAGGGCGACTCTACAGATTCAGGAAGTGTTTGAACTGGATTCCTGCACTTTATTATCACAAAGATACAGACACAGATGTAGAAACAGTGGATTTGATGCATGGCTGAGTTCATGGACCCCAGAGGGTGAATAGAAGCTGAAAGATGGGGTGTGTTAAAGCTTTTTGAAACACTTTATTTAATGTAGTGACTTCATAACACACGCATACGCTGTATGCAAAAGTTTGGGCGCTGCTATATGTTGATTTTCTAAGGCAAGACAAGTTTATTTATACAGCACCTTTCATACACGGCCGTCATTTAAAGTGTTTTACAAATGAGAAAATATAGTCGGAAAACAGAGTTTTAAAAAAATTAAACGAGAATACAAATTAAAAACATTTAAACAACAGATTTAAAAGAGAAAATCATTAAATTAAAAATCAAGTTAGACATTAAATTAGGATAGTTAAAAAAAAATCTAATTAAAAGTTAGATTATGATAAAAAAAAAAAGGCAGCATATATAACTGAATAAAAATGGCCCAAGAACTGAACCCTGGGGGACACCACAGATCACTGGCACTCTCAAGCAATACTAGAACAGATGTTTTCAAGCAATACCAGAACAGATGTTTTTCCAGAGTCTATATTAAAACAAATGTCATAAAGAATTTTAATTAGGGCAGATTCAATTCAATTCAATTCAACTTTATTGTCATTATACTGAAACAGGGTTGTACAGTACAACGAAACACTTTTAGGCTAGATCTCCAGTGCAATTGCAGACAACATAGTGCAGGACAGGACATAGTGCAAGACAGGACATAGTGCAGGGACATAGAACAATAAATACAGAAAATAAATACAAGTATATACACTGCAGTAGGTGTGCTGGTACTTTAACACTGTTAATATAACAGTAGGTGCAATAGGGTATGTAGAGGGCAGGGAGCAACAAACTATGGGTTAAAGTGCATGGTGCATACAGTCTCTGAGCTGATGGCGATCTGAGGGATAGTAGGGGGAGGACAGAGGTCAGTCTGTTAATCAGGTTGAGGTTGGTGTGAAGTAGTGTGAACAGAGGTCAGTCTGTATGAGTTCAGGTTGAGGGTAGTGTAGCTGGTGACACCAGTTTAACAGCACGGGGGAAAAAGCTGTTTCTGAGTCTGGTGGTTCTGGCTCTGATGTTCCTGTACCTCCTTCCAGATGGCAGGGGCTGGAACAGCGGGTGGCTGGGGTGTGTGGGGTCGGAGGAGATGCAGAGGGCCTTCCTCAGACATCTCTTGTTGTAAAGGTCCTGCATGGGTGGGAGGGCAGCCGCGGTGATGCGCTGGGCAGTTTTCACCACTCTCTGCAGGGCCTTGTGTTCAGCAGCAGTGGCACTGCCGTACCAGACTGTGATGCAGCTGCTCAGAATGCTCTCCACAGTGGATCTGTAGAAGTTGCAGAGAAGCTGTTGTGGCAGGTTGACTCTCTTCAGCCGTCGGAGGAAGTGGAGCCGTTGCTGTGCTTTCCTGATGATGTGGGATGTGTTCAGTGACCAGGTGAGATCCTCAGAAATGTGGACCCCGAGGAACTTGAAGCAAGTACTACTATTCAGTACTATGGTTAGGCTGAAATCCTGACTGAAATTTGTCTAGACAGCTATTTAAGGACAGACAGCTTGTAAGTTGCTAAGTTGCTAAATGAGTGAACTCATCCTCCACAGTGAACACACTTCTGCACATTTTAATACACAATTATTGTTAATTTGCTGAATTTAATGTTGCACATTTTGTATTTTGTTTTATGTTCCGGTATGGAAAACCTTTGCATACGACTGTAAACATTAAATGACATATTTCAGAAGCCACAGTCTGTATGTAGGTAACCAGCAGTTGTTTATTGGCTGTGTTGAATGGGAACCGACACTGAAAATGATACACAGCTCTGGCTGTAATGCCAGCTTTTATACACATGGGGGCGCTGTGTCTCTATCTCTAAATGTCCTCCCCTCCCTTTCTTCCTTTTCTCCACACTGCTGCCTTCTATCCTCCTACAGACAAACCAGATAATGTGATTTTGTGCGCACAGTTCAGTTCTGAATTTTTGTCTTTCACTGATACGTTTAATTTTTTTTTCTCTTGCATAAACGAAAAATATGCTGTTAATTATATATGATTTATTTCTGACTCACAGCTCACTGAAACAAGAAGAGACTTCATGTGGAAAGTGCAGATTCTAGTCTTTCATACCACATCTGTGTTTGCGAACAGAAGAGGAGATATTTTATTATGATTTGAATTTGATAAGTAATCGTTGTGTATGCAAAAAAAAATATATCATTTACATTTTTGCCAGCGGTTAATATGAGAACATTTGGGAAAAAGCTGACAGTGCAGAGTCTGACCTGTCCAAAATAATACAGAGTAAATATAATTCCTTATATAACAGTAATTAAATAATAATGTACAGTAAAATGACAGTAATAAGTGTTAGAGTGTGAGGGTGAATGTAAAGGGGAAGCTAGCAGAGCTACAGCAGCACAGCACTCCATCACTGCTCAGCTCAAGGCCGTCTGCTTTCTGTGAGTCTGATTTCTCTGTGTGACTCGAGGAAAAGCACAGACGTTTGGCTGCAAGGCCTTTCGCCTACGTCTGATCCTGCTGTCCGCTGCAGCTAGCGGTCATATTCTGTCCTCTGCTGTTCATCGCTTTGCCTTCATTTCAGCTCTGATAAAGTAACAGTTTAACACAAAACATCTCGTTTGCTCAGTTTCCCCCCTTTAGCCCAAATACAGCCCCTCAGCCAAGATTAGCAACTCTAGTAGGGTTGCTAATGTTTCTGACACTGTATGATGCTGTTATTACAGCTGTGCTACTCAGGCCTGTAATATTGGCCCAAACCCAAATACATCCTGAGGGCTTTTGGCCCAAGAACTTTCTGTTTGAGCTTGACTCGACTGTCGGCACCAAGTTTTTAGTCTAAACCCGAGCCTCACAGAATTTAGTCCGAAACTGACCCACATCATCAAATTTAGAGTCCGAAACTGGCCCGAATCGGCCCAATGTCACCCAAAGTGCCGAAACCTGATACCTCTAATCAAAGCACCAGATAAATAATAATAACCGTTATAGATCACGGGTAAGTAAGGTAAACAATATGACATAATTAGGCGGTCACCAACATTACGTTTAAATTCTGCTTTAAATTCTGAGTTTGTTAATGAAGCAGTTCTTACTTTGATGTTTTTAGGTCTGGATAAACTTTCCGCGCTGCATCGTTCACACGCTTTTGCAGTACTGATGTAGCATGTTAGCCATCAACTTTTCAATCCTAAAACTCTGGCCTCTTCTCCACTGTCGAGTCGGCCGGTCCGGACTCGTGAGACCGGTTACGGTTTCGTTTTCCGTCTGTTCCACTAAATCAGAATCAGGAAATACTCAAGAAGACTGCAAAAAGGGGAGGCTAACTGCTAACAAGCTAAAAGCTACTGACACACCACCCACATATATATATATATAATAATATATATATATATATATATATATATATATATATATATTCCACCTGTCACTCCAACTCCAGTCTCTCAGTGTGCTCTAATCTTTTTATCCTCTAACTGGTTGGTATTTAAGCATCAGTTACTGAAACAGCCTTTACTGCAGAGGCTTCATCTGTAATGTTAGCTGGCTAAGTGCGCTAGCATTAGCGTCACCCAGCAGGGTTCAGCTCAAAGCACCACAGAACAATTCTAATTTTTATCTTTCTGTCGCTTCAAATCAGTCATTCGAATTTGTGCCCTCAGATACGAGTCTTTATCCTCTAAACGGGTGTTTTTAATCATCAGTTTGCTGGAAGCGAGTGCTGTTTTGGGGGTGCACACCATACGCTCAGGTTAGCTGAGCCTAGCAGGCTACAGCTTGAAGCACTACAGAACAGGTTCAATCAGTCGACTTTACTGTCACACACACATATATATATATATATATATATATATATATATATATATATATATATATATATATATATATATTTGCCCATACTTGTGAAAGCAGAGCAGTTAGAATTGAACCTGCACTGGGGTGTTTGGATCTATTTAGCTAGGAGAGAGAAGCCAGCTGGCATTACCTTAGCTAGCTGGGAGGCTCCAGACACCAGAAAACAGGTTTAATTTCAGCTTTCTGTTCCTCTAACATCAGCCGCTCTACCTCGCTTCCTCAGATTTGAGTCATTATCATCTAAACTTGTGTCAGTAAAGCTTCTGTTAGTCAGAATAGAACCTGTTCTGTAGTGAGCAGAGTTGGCAGCATGCAGGC